ATAATAATTGTGTGTGAATGGACAAACCAGCAGGCTGAGCACACTGTAAACATTTGAACTGTTGTTTGGCTCATTCTAAAACACCTTACCGTTTCAGTATTAGTGTTACTATATTATTAATGACCTCCAGAGTCAAGAGCGTCTGTGCTCTGCGTCTGACACCTTCAAACGCCACTAACGCGTTCACTGCGTGTCAGGATTGCCTTTTGAGGTGCAAGTCGTTTATTAAATGAAGAAAGGATTAATGCAGCTTCCCCTACTGCCGCAAAATTCAGTTTTTACTGTAGATATTTGGCGCCAGTCAATAAGGAAGTGACAAATTTTGTTCGCTTTGACTCGTTGGATGGAAACGCTGCTTTAATTCGCACGTCTTTTATGCGATAATTCAGTTTTGCGCATGAAGTTCATTAGCATTTTTAGATGGAAACACAGCTATAGTTGGTTCATAGCGCTTTAGCTTAACGCACAACAATTATCTGACTTCTTGGCTAAAAAATTAGAAACCCGTGACTTGGAGATACTACAGTAATGTTTCGGCAACACGTGAACGCGATCAATTCTAGCACAAATCTCTCATGGGGGCGGAGTTAACAGCTGGTCTTCTCTGATTGGCTTATGTGAAATATATTTTTCCTTTTGTTTGGCACAATTTTAGCCCCATAGCTGACTAAAGCTGCGGTCAGACTGGACTTTTCTCCACATAGACTTCCATTCATACACACGCAAATGCGTCAGACTGGAAACGCATGCGTCTAGTTTCACAGTTTGCTGCGTTGCAAAGTTCAAGCTTGGTGAACTCTGACCTGCGAAATCGCGTCACTTGACTGCGTGAGACCAATCGAGGATCTAAACATGACCTCTCTGGACAGAAATTTAAAATATGGAGCAATCGCTCGCTATTTTTAATGTCTAATCATCTTGTTTAATCCTGCCCCTTTTCACAGCGCCGTACGACAGAATTTCACATGCTCAAACTCTAGTGTGACCGCAGCTTAACAGCAAGTTTTGTGTTCTTTAACAACTCTCAAGGAAGACATCCTACATAATGATCTTGTTAGCCGTGTATTGTAGAGGATCAGCATACTCACAGATGTGCTGCGCAGCTGGAGTTGGGTGTTGTGGGATCGGACAGATGTAGAGTAACAGGAGGAGAATGCTGAGCGGACAGGAGGAACCCGACAGATAGCACACAAAGACTCAAAACAGTGCCTATACAGGGGGGAAAAGCACATTCTCATATTTATAGTGACCTTTTTTAGCGTTTAAAGTCCAAAGTTTAGACAACCAAGCCATGTATAAATCTGAGATCCAGCAATGTGACATTTATAAAATACAAGTTGTTATTTGGATTTCAAAGATTTTGTGTTTTATATACACATATATGCGACATAAACAAACCGGCCACTTTATTAGGTACACCGTACCAGTGGGGTCGGAGCCCCTTTTGCCTTCAGATCTGCCTTAATCCTTCATGGCAGAGATTCAACAAGCTATACTGGAAATATTCCTCAGAGATTTTGCTCCATATTGACTTGATAGCATCACACAGTTGCTGCAGATTTGTCGGCTGCACATCCATGGACATTCCAAGGCAGGATGGATCCATGCTTTATGTTGTTGAGGCCGAATTCTGAGCCGAGCATCCGAATGTGTCAGCAGAAATGGAGACTCATCAGAGCAGGCAACGTTTCTCCAATCTTCTATTGTCCAGTTTTGGCTGACAGGAGCGGCACCTGGTGTGGTCTTCTGCTGCTGTAGCCCATCCGCCTCAAGGTTGGACGTGTTGTGTGTTCAGAGATGCTCTTCTGCAGAGCTCGGTTGTAACAAGTGCTTATTTGAGTTACTGTTGCCTTTCTATCAGCTGGAACCAGTCTGACCATTCTTCTCTGACATCAACAAGGCATTTGCATTTGCGCCCACAGAACTGCCACTCACTGGATATTTCCTCTTTGTCGGAGCATTCTCTGTAAACCCTAGAGATGGTTGTGCATGAAAGTCCCAGTAGATCAGCAGATTCTGAAATATTCAGAGCAGCCCGTCTGGCAGCAACAACCATGCCACGTTCAAAGTCACTTAAATCCCCTTTCTTCCCCATTCTGATGCTCGGGTTGCAGCAGATCGTCTTGACCATGTCTACATGCCTAAATGCTTTGAGCTGCTGCAATGTGATTGGCTGATTAGACATTTGCGTTAACTAGCAATTGGACAGGTGTACCTAATAAAGTGGCCGGTGAGTATATATTGTAAAATAGGCATTTATATATGCAAATATGATATAGAATGTCTGACTAAATAACATCTCTAAGGTCTTCTTTAAATACCGCACTTAAAAAAGCAAACCCCTGATAATAATATATAATATAATATAATAATAAATATAATATAATAATGAACATAATATAATAATAAATATAATAATATAATAAAATATAATAATAAATATATTATAATAAAACATAATAATATAGTATAATAATAAATATAATATAATATATAATAATAAAATATAATAATAAATATAATATAATAAAACATAATAATATAGTATAATAATAAATATAATATAACATAAAAATATAATATAATAAGATAATAATATAATATATAATAATAAAATATAATAATAATATAATAAAACATAACAATATAATAATAAATATAATATAACATAAAATATAATATAATACATAATAATAAAATATAATAATATTATATAATATATAATAATAATATAATATGTAAATAATACATATAATAAATGTTATGAAACCTCTTACAAATAAATGCAGATCATCATGAATGCTATCGAGCAGCACAACATGAATCGTCAAACTATGATTAAAATTAATAACGTAACTGTGCACAAATTCATACAATTTGACATGTATTCAAAGAATTACAGAGAGTTATTTTACCCTAAATATTTTTTTCCAATATATTTTTTTACTGTATTTATTTTTTGTCAAACCTAGCCATGGTGAGAGGAAACAGTACAACATAAAAACAGTATAAAGTCTATATAATCATCATCCCTAGTCAGTGAAAACGGAGCAAAACTGACTTTTTTCTACAGCACAGTTCACACACAGTGGCAATTCAAAGAGCTTAACATAAACAGGAATAAAAGAGAAGTATAAGAAAATAAAACAGATTAAATGTGATAAAACAGGTTATAAAAGTAGGTCCAATTGAAAAACACTTATTTAAAATGAGCTCGACCAACACAAATCTTGAGATTTTATTTGAGGGATTTATTTAATCCACTTAAATTTGTTAAGTTAATGCATTTGTGTTGGGAAGACATGAATGAATTGTGTGTAACCCTGCATTTTCACAGTGAATATATTAGTCAAACATACTATAGTACAGTCTTACCGAAGATGCTCCCCAGTGTAAGCTTGCGCCTCCCTACTCTTTCAACCAGCCACACGCCGAGAAGAGTAAACAGGAAATTAGTGAAGGCTGTTACAGTCACCAGCCAGATGGCCAGCTTATCATCTCGCACTCCTGACATCTGCAGAATGGTGGCGCTGTAGTACCTTCAGAAAGAGCACATAGGAAACATTAAGACTTTTATTAAACATTACATGTTTTCAAACCTGTTTTGTTGTTGTTGTTGAAGCATTGACTTTCATAGTAGGAAAAACAAATACTGTGGAGGTCAGTGGTTACTGGTTTCCAACATTTTTCAAAACATCTTCTTCTGTGTTTTTACAGAGGAAGGAAACTCGAAAAGGTGTTGAAGAAGTGAAGGGTGAGGAAATGATGGCTTTGGGTGAACTCGCCCGTTAATTGTTAGTTTCTGATCTGATAAAACAGCCTGATCTCACGAGAAAACGTAAGTATTTTACGTTTTGCCAGTTTAGTGGCTAATTCGTACGAATTCGTACGAGTTTAGTCGTACGAAATGGTACGATTTTAAAAAGGAGGCGTGGCACCTGACCCCACCCCTAACCCCAACCGTCATTGGGGGATGAGCAAATCGTACTAAATTGTACGAATTAGATCGTACGAATTCATACGAATTAGCCACTAAAATGGAAAAAGTTACGAATTGCCGTGAGATTGCGTTGGATAAAAAGCAAGAGAATTAGATACAGCTTACAATTAAACTTTCAAAACGACCGTAACAGGAATAATAGTAGATATGAATAGTTACTTATTAGATATGTGAGAATAAACATAGCAAATTAGGCCTTGATCACATGGAACAGGCTTTTTTCGCACTGCTTATGCGCGCTAACGTTTCAACCTCCTTCTGCGTCTCGCGTTTTTTGCCAAAATTTAGAAAATCTCTGTAAAATTGTCTACAATATTTTTCTATATCGATGTTTCACGTCTATTTTTATATGGTTAGACGGTTTTCTGCTTCGTTTTTGTACTTGATCGACTGGCAAGTCAAATGCAGTCACAATGTGCCTGCTAACTAAAGCCTGGAGTATACTCGATGCGTCCGCCTGTTCGCTTGAGTGCGCGAATGTGACGTTAATCGCGGAGTTTGCGGAGGTTCGCTTTGGGTGCGCGCGGCATGATTTCGGCTGGCGGTGCGTCAGGCATTTTTTAAGACTCGAGCGAACAGTGCGCAACTGATTTGAATTGAATATGAAACACTTTGAAGAGATTTTATCTGAAACAGTACGACTGTAAACACATCTTTATGAACCGTGATCATAATAACCAGACAATCAATAAATACTGGCTAGAAATTGCAACAGTCATGGGAAAGGAGAAAGTTTTTGTTAAAAGGTTTGGAAAAACCTGAAGAATAAGTTTATTAAAAGCAAGAGAGGCCATGGCAAAATGTACACAATTACAGAATTTAATTAATTTTTTCATTTTGTATTTTTAATTTTGTATTTAAAACTATTTAATGTTTACAAAACTATAATGAAGTCACTAAATTATTTTTGATAACTGGAAAGGAATAGATATACTGATAGCCTGTTTCTCTGGGCTGGGTGATCATGATCTGTAATGTTGGACCCTCCCTGCCTTTTTAGCATAAGAAGAGGAGAAACTAGCCGTAAAGTAATGTAAAACATACGTTTTTTTTTAGTAAGTGTGCTTTCTTTGCTTTTGTTTTCGCGATAATAAAACATTTATTTGTAGAGCAACGCATGTTCTGCTGTCATTAATATTTTAATAAAATGTAATAGATATACTGTTCGAGATATAAACAAAAGCAAGTGATGAGCAATGATTATTTGCTAGAAATAACAACAGCAGTGAGAAAGGAGGAAAGTTTATGTTAAAAAGTTTGGAAAAAGCTGAGCGATAAGTTTGTTCATGCCAAAAGAGGCCATGACAAAAGTGGAGAAGCACACAATTACTGAATATGTTTTTCCACCAGTATAGGTGTCACACTGATGTATATATTTGTGGATTGGGCTAAATGCAAAAAAAAAAAAAAAAAAAACATTTTTTTAGCAAGTTTTTGCTTTTATTCTTGCTATAATAAAATTATATTTGTAGAGCAACTCATGTTTTCTTGTGATTAATATAATAATAAACTTTAAATGGTAAAACTGTCCGAGATATGAACGAAAGCAAGTGATGCATCAAAGTTAGATATTTAAATAAGCTTGAATGGTTATGAAAATGCTTATAATCATTAAAATAATATATAAAAACAATACAAATAATTAGTTAAAAAATATTGAACGACATTATGATATGACGTAATTCCGGTAACTTCCTACTTCTCTGTTTATCCGTCGGATTGTAGTGTGGGTTTCTTTTGACCGCCCCCTGTCATTTTAAAGAATATCACAACGGCGAACGCGGCGAGTATAAAAAGCGAAGTCAGCGGAGGTGCGCGATGCGGCGCCAGGCGCGAGAATATTTCACACACCTATAACTCATTAGGAGGATAAGCTCAACCCTGTTAGACCATGCGCCACGGCGCAAAGCGGATTTTTCCATCCTTAAAATAGCAAAAGTGGATTCAGACACTGCGCTTTGCACTTTGCGCAGGGATCCAAAATGTGTTGCTCCGGGTTCGTCTCACTGCACATTTCAGATGACAAATCCACTAGAGGGCGCTGTCTACATGTTTGTGAATTTTAAATGTTCTACATATGACGTACTAAATATATTTACGGTATGTTTTGTTGTACACCTCACTTACACGTCCTTCTTGTACATGACCTTGTCATATTGATCACTAAAACCCAACCAATAGTGTTTTCGCCCTTAAGGCTAACGTGCAGGATAAAATAGATTCTCGAAGCTTTCAAAGTGGCCACTTCTTAGGCTGTGCTGACCAACTTGCATTTTTAAAGCAAATTAAATACAAATTATATTTGAAGGGCACCTATTTTACCCCTTTTTACCTATTTTATTTTACCAATTTCGGTCCTGGAGGGCTGGTATCCCTGCAGGGTTTAGCTCCAACTTTCCTCAACACACCTGCCTTGGTGTTTCAAGTACACCTAGTAAGACCTTGATTAGCTTGCTCAGGTGTGTTTGATTAGGGTTGGACCTAAAATCTGCAGGAACAAGTTTGTTGACCCCTGACTTAAACATTCTTCGAAACATTTGGGATAATCTATGAGTCAACAAAATGTATAAGACTGTTCTAGAGGATTTTGGACATTGTAATGAAGTAATCAGACACGCTGTCCCTTTAAAAATCCCTTTCTAATAAGCATACTAACAATTAATGGCCTTTTTCTGTAGCATTATGCAGACTTGCAACTAATTGCCTCCCTCGTTATGATCTACATATGCTTCGCATATCCCTTTCATCAAAACAAGCAGCGGTCGAAATCATTAGTTTGGCAGTAATTGTTACCTCCACAGAGGTTTGAAATCATCCTGTGTTATTAAAAACATACGATATACAGTTCCCCTATACAGTAATCAAGTATGTAGTCAGATCCAGACTCCCCACAAAGGAGCGGAGCAGGAAAACCTTCATTAACCCGAAGGAAAATGCCACCATCCTGCTCTTTTTCACAGATTCAGAAAGGATTTGCATTATTACATGCTGCCATAGTCTTCCCGCACGCTGACTTAAACCAAATTACACTCCAAAAATGTTGGTACAACATGAAGGAACTGTGGAACCCAGCCCTTTTCGCAGAGTAACTCATCCAAAAAATGAAAATCGTTTATCCGACTCATCCTCAAGTCATCCCAATGACACATGATCAACTTTGTTTTGTGGAACACAAAACCAGATGTTTAGCAGAATGTTCACCCTGCTCTTTTGCGCATATTAAAAAGCAAACGGCGACCAGTGGATGCATCTGACTTAGCTTGTCAAGCTCCAAAGATGTGTCTTTTTTTTTTTTTCAATAATCAATCATAAGACATTAAAAAATGCACTTTCATATCACATATACGAGATTTGACGTCGATATTTTAAGTGTTTACCAATTTAAAAGCTTTCAAAAAGTAATAGTAAATTGAATAAATGAATCAGAATATTCAAAATACAGTGTTCAAGTGTTTCGTGCAACCCAAGCTCATTGGGAAAGTATGCGCCTTAATCTACATTTTTGTGAAACATGAAGGTCCCCTATCATGCACGCGGCGCAAGGCGTAACGCAATTGTTGTTTGCTAGTTTCAGCTCGGCGCAAGAGTCGTTTTGCACCACACTGTTGAAATAGCAAACAAATTTACGCTCATAATTGCACCCATAGGCGTTCTGGTCTAAAAAAGGAGGTGTGCTGAGGCGCACTGCGGGAGTGTTGCTATTTTGAGAACTAAAATAGTCCAGATCAAGGCCGGTCTAAAGTCCAGCGCAGAGCGCGTTAGTTGTGCGCCTCGCTTAAACATTGCTTAATACACACAGGGTGTCCAGTAATATGCAAATGTCATTACAAATAAAAAAAGAATTAAATGATTAAAATATTACAACAAAAATATATTACTCTGATTGGTTTATTCTCAAAACACACCTATAACTCATTAGGAGGATAAGCTCAACCCTGTTAGACCATGCGCCACGGCGCAAAGCGGACTTTTTCCATCCTTAAAATAGCAAAAGTGGATTCAGACACTGCGCTTTGCACTTTGTGCATGGATCGTCAAAATAGAGCCCGAAATGTGTTGCTCGGGGTTCGTCTCATTTGCACATTTCAGATGCCAAATCCACTAGAGGGCGCTGTCTACATGTTTATGAATTTTAAATGTTCTACATATGACGTACTAAATATATTTACGGTATTTTTTGTTGCACAACTCACATACACGTCCTACTTGTACATGACCATGTCATATTGATCACTAAAACCCAACCAATAGTGTTTTCAAAAGCAAATGTAAGAGAAAAGTGCGACCACAAAGCTTTACCTCGATTTTCATCCACTCGTTCCTTTTATTTTCGGGGGTCAGCACAGCGGAATAAGCCACTAACTTATCCAGCATAATTTTTTTTTACACAGCAGATGCCCTTCCAGCTGCAACCCAGTACTGGGAAACACCCCCACACATACATACACTACGCACAACTTAGCTTACCCACCTATAGCGCATGTGTTTTGAATGTAGGGGAAACCGGAGCACCCGAAGGAAACCCACGCCAACACAGGG